ATGTATCAAATTAGCGAAAAGCAGTTCAGGTAAAAACATAGGCTATTTGTTTTGTCAAGTCATAAGATAGGAAATTTAGGATAGTAAGTTGGTAAATGTCATTTCGTGAGATTTTCAGCGCCAGATTTTACCATCTTTTAGGATGCCAATTATAAAGGTATGGTGAAAAATTCCCAAATGTATTTAGAACCTTTTTCTATTAGGCTACGACGTTTCATGATAAATTTTAGATGACAAGTTTTGACAACCTTCGTCCTGACCAATCATCCATAACTAATCGTCCATTCTACTTAAAAAGGTTGACGTCAGGTTGGCTGGGAAAGAGAATAGTTTCTCAGAATAATTATTGCTTTCCGCTGATTATCCTGAAAAATTTAACAGTTCCTTACTTTTGATTGATTTTGTTTTCCACTTCATCTCGTAAGCCCCAGTGTTTCTGGGAAAATAAACAGCTGCTACTAACTACTTTTAGGACTTACTTTACTTTTTCCCTATCATCATCTCACCATTAAATGACAGATGCGTATCAGCCTTTCCCCACGGAGTTAATGAAGAGTAAAAATACATTCTTGCGAGTATAAAATTTCAAATTATAATAAAATTTTTAAAACTTCCACTCAAAATTCCACAAGTTTTCAATTAGAAACTGAGATAAAAATAAGCAAAAAACTATATAAAAATCCGCCTAACAAATTTTTTTTATCAAATTCTCAGTTTTGTGGAAATTTGCTACGATTAATTTCAACTCTTCCTTATCTCTTTAACTGTAATCTTTCACAAATCCTTGAAAATCAATGCAGTTTTGTTGCATTTACTTTATCCAGGTGCAAGTTTACACTGACCAGGATATATTATCATAAATACTTTTGTGCCTCGTAATTTTTATGTCAGTTTTTTATCTTGCTCAGTGTAAAACTTAAAAAATTTATGCAAATTACAAAGTAAATTTATAATTCTCATAAATTTATCTTTTCTATCATCTATTCATCTAAATGAAGGAATACATAATTCATAATCTATCAGAATTTTCATCTTGTTCCACCAGATGGCCAGTTCCTAAGGTTTTTTGGTAATTAAATAAGGATTTGAGAGAGTTAAATTACAAAAGATAAAGGAAGACTTTACTACATCGTATTTTTATTCTATGCAAAATGTACATTACAAATAGAAAACTGCACATTCTAGTAAAACTATTTTTGAACTCAATATAGGCATATCACGAATTTTATTAAAATTTCTCTGATAGAACATAAAATGAAGAAACGCTGAATAAGTTAATTAAAATCCACACAAACTACATTTTTTTATCAAGAGTTTTTCATTAAAATAGAGCAAGTAAACCCTTTTTTACACAAAGAATCAGCAAAGTTTTATGTTTTTTTTCTAATCGAGCAACCATTACTTAATTATTTCATATATCCTTGCTTGGAGCTGAGTAAATAATTGCAAATTTTTTCTGATAATTGAGGGACTTTGTCAGCTGAATAAGATCCAATGAATAAGATCCAAAGAACGGGAGTTCTTTCAAAAAACTGCTCCAATAAAAACTTATCTTTTTTTAGCTGTTAGTTGATTTACAACCAAAAACAAACGACATTGATCATACGAGAGTTCAATTAAGAAACACAAAAATTAAGTTAATGGCTTACGTGCATTCAGTTATTGAATTGTCAAAAACCCATACACATGTCTTAAAAATTGTTTCGAACACTGCTGTAAAACTTAGGTTGGCAAGTTTTCTTTTTTTCAACAAAGTAGCATTTTTTTCTGTTTTATCTTGAGGTATAGATCTGAAAAAAGTGGTTAATGTCAACACAACAGCTGAAAGGATCAGAAAAAGTTTGCAAATTGTCTAAAAATTTCTGAGCGATTAAGCATTTTAGCGACTGTTTTGAGTTTATCAGTTTTAATTTTTGATAATCTTTCTCCCAAGACAATCTCTTCCGTTACTTGCTCCGAGAAGAATGGAAAAAAAATTACTAGTCTGAACCTTTCTCCGTTAAATTCTGGCTGATGCAACTGCTCAGCTGCATCCTGTAGTGAAGTTAAGTAAAAAAACTAATGTTCCATAAAGAGAGCTGAAAATGTTTTGTTAAAATGTATTGCTTTCATTTATGTAACACAGGGGCGACAATGATTCTTTATATCCAATGAAACAACTACTAAGTTCTCTCGAATGAAGCTGTTGGTAGTTGAAAGGATTTTCGTAAAAAGACACTGCTAGACCTGAAAGTTCATTCATTGCAACTGCTATCTTTCTTATTCGTGCTTTATTGAAAAAAAAGTCTGAATAAACAGGTTTTGAGGAGATTGAATTACAAAAATTTGTTAGGATTTCCATGTAGTTTTAAGGAGCATTTTATATTTTTCAGGTTTTCATTGAAAGTTTGGATGATTAGGTTCACATGCTGATAAGCAACGAAGCGTCAACAATTTTCAGGCTAACAATTGATTTATTGTTTGAGTTGAGCTGAACTATTCAAAAATTTTTGTCACAGTAGGTTTGCTGTTTGATTTCCCTCAAAATTATGTATAAGAGTGTTCACTTGAATTAGTTTTTGCTGATTATCTTTTTTCAAGTGTGGTATCTGATTGTTAAACTCGTCTTTGTTGAGCCTTTTTAAGCTTGTAACTCACTTCCAGTCAAAATGAAACGCAATAGCTCACCACTTCCGAGTTTTTGCCGTCGTTGAAACTACCAAATGGTGATACCATTTTGGAAATGTATTATGATTTCTAGACTGGCATTTATTTATCGCCTGAAAAACCTGACTCGCGATGATTATTTACCTTATATGCAATGAAATTGGCAAGCAAGGGCTTCCTATATTGTTTTAGTATAATGATAAAATTTTTCTTTTTTGAAACCGTAATTTGCAAACCCCGATATTGCAAACTAATTTTGGAAATCCCCCAAAAGTTTGCTGACATCCTGACGTTTCATTAATTTGACACCATGACTTTCCAAAAATTTAGTTTCTCCTTTCAGGATATACAATTTCACAACAAATTTGGCTTGTTTTGTAAAAATCCACCTCACCTTTGGAAACGACCTGAAAGGTAAAAGTGTTTTATAACACAAATCATATACTGAAAGCATCAAATTTTTAAAGTTTTGGCAAAAGTTCTCAAAGATGCCCGCACTCAGTAAAAAGAGAAAATTATCGATTATATCATAATTATAATCGTACTTTTAGCAAAATTCTAATCCTTTATCAGCGCAAAGTTTAAATGTCTAACCGAATTATATCTCATTATAATTATAACAATTTTGGTGACATTTTTATAAATTATAATCAATTATATTTGATAATAATTTTTCCAAAAATATCTCATAATTTTTTATAATAGATTATAAACTCTTTTTCTATCAAAATATTATCTCACAAAAAATCAATTACAATAACAAAACAAGAATAAAACGAAATGAAGCAATGACACAGTTGTTGAATAATATTGGATTATAATCCATTATAATGGATTATAATTCAATAAAAATTGAGAAAAAAATATTCGATTATAATCGACTATAAACGATTATAATGATTTTTATTGGTTCGATAAATAGTAACATTATAATATATTTTTAATTGGAATTGTAATTTTTTTAATGAAATTTATGGAAACTGACAAAAAAAATCCTGTGTAAACTATTTTTTTCTGTTTTTACTGAGTGCGGGTAATTATTCGTAAAATTTGAATTTTTAAATTACCAGACATTGATCATGACTTACATAAACCTTTGGGGTTTGCAATTTATGTTTTGTCCGAATTAAAAATTCAGGCAATTTTCAACCTTTTTAACCCGTGCCAAAATTTTTTCGACTATCTACAACCATGACAAATTATTTTGAACTGGTTTAATTGAAGAAGAACAATAAGAATGTGCTCAACCGTTGAAAAAAACTTTGACTGTAATTGCTGAAACCCCGACCAATGATATTTTTCTCCCAATAAAAGTTCGACAGCGTTTTTTCCTTACAGCGAATTATATCACGAACCACCTGAACTGTCTGAACATACTGATTGATTTTACATAATGGTGTAGATTTTGTTCACATATGTTCAAAAATATATTCACCTACGATTTCAACATCTTTTTTCATTTTGCAACTTCTGTTTCTCACTTTTTGCGGCTGACATTCTGCTGCTTCTCCCATATATTTTCACATGCCACCAATTACATGTACTACATGTAAACAAAAAAAAATACAACAAAAAATTGAAAGAGCCGGAAAATTTAGAGCTCAATAAATCGAAAAACACGCCCAATGGTTCCCTGCAGTTCCAAATATTTAGTGTCTATAAATTGCAACCATATTGACTACAACAATTATTCTCGGTCGAACTTTTTTTAAAAATCAATAAAAAATAGGTTTTTAGAGAAATTCAAAGTTTATCGGCTAATGGAATTGAGCCTTAGGTTTATGTCGACACAGAAAAATAAAATGGTAATGTTCACACGTGAATGAACATAAATTCAGGGGAGCTGGTGTGAATAATCCGGGAAAAAACCCTTCCCGGTAAAATGTTTTCAGTGCGACCTTCCCTTTTTTTATCGCTTTTCCTCTAAATGCACCCAATTTTTACCCTTTGTTGATTTTTTACTCCAACGCAATTTTGGTCTCGTTCCCTGTTTGAATAATAATCCAAATAGAGCAAACAGTTCAATTGGCAGAAACAAAACAAGGGATATGAAAGCGTTTCACTAATCTCGGCTAAAATCAAACCAAAATTGTAAAAAAAAGGAAAAGTAAGTTTTGATAAATGAAAACTTTCAGTTTTTTGTATTGGTTATAAACAATTTCTTTTGTCATCATTTCCCGTTTTTTTTTGGGTTGATTCGGATTTTAAGTTAAAAAGGACTTTCTTGATTCGGTTAATTGAACATAAAGGGGGATTGGAATTCACTTATAACTATGTTACACTAGTCTTCTACCCAATATTTAATCAGAGAAGAGCCTTTTATTTTTTGCAGACCTGTACGATCTTTATTTGATATACGGGTATGCGCTTAGGGTTAAAATTCTACTTTGGTTTTTTCTATCGAGGTTGCAATTGATTTTTCTTCTGAATAAAACCAATTACCAATTCTCAGTTTATGTCAATGTGCAATCCGTGTTTGTCAGGCGAGAGAAGAAAATCGGAAATCTGGGGCCCTTTTTTGCATCCAGGTAACTCCAATTCCATCAAATATTCGTGAGTTCAAAGGAGAAATTCAGTTCTAGTTGGGACTTTCTGTCTGAGATACAAATTAGGTGTTGGATGTTATTCCACTTGCTGCCTGCGTCTGGTAAGAAAGAATTCTTCCTTTTTATCTTCTCTGAATTAAAATAAATTTTTCATCTTGGCGCGTATATGCAACACCAAATATGGTAAGTCGTATTTTTAGTAAATCTCCGTGCTAAGTTAGACCCTTAAATCTGTTTTGAAAGATTTCATCTGTTTTAAAGACAGGCTTTAAGTTTTGAGGTTTTAAATACGTGGTTAAAATTTTCAGCCACAAAAAAAAACAATTCATTAAACTCTTTTTTCATTAAAACAATTCATTGAACTGTTTTCTCTTTGAAACAATTCATTAAACTGATTTTTAATTATCACAGTTCATTAAACTGAGGCAATTAGCAATTTGCTGATTATGTAAGTCAGATTCTTTATAATGAGAGTAGGTGGTTATATAAAAAAGTCAAAAGGGACTTGATTCGTAGTTTTTCAATCTGCTCTGAGAATTTTATTGCACTTGAATTGCATTGAAAACTATTTTTATGATAACCTGATTTTCAACGTTGAAGCGAGACTAAAAAAGGAACCCGTCACTTTTCTCGTTTTTTGCTGGTTTGAAAAAAAGTGTAACAAAGTTGATAATACAAAACGAACTCACACGCAATGAACGTAGATGCTATCAAAAAACCGCTTCGAATGATCACCAATGAGCAAATTTTTCGACCTACAGCAGATTTCTTTCTACAAAAATGTTTGAAAAAGGAACTAACTGTTCAAAAGCAATTACAGTTTAAAGGAAATTTAGGTTTCAAAAAAGTTTCCAAGATAAGTATCCTTTTTAGAATAAATTTCATCAAAATGATTGCGTTCGGCCTACCTCGAAAGATACAAAAAAAACACAAACAAGTTGCACCTCGTGCATTAATAATATTATTTCAAACTCTGAAGTTTTCTTTGTGGAAAACAGACAATTCTAATCAAAGTTTTAGTGGTTATTCAGAAAAGTCATCAGAATTTTGTTTTCAAAATAGATCAGATTTTTTTAAAAATCATTTTTAAGTATTTCAATCTAAAGCCATATTTTCCACGCTATCGTTTGTTTTTTCATGTCATAAAATAAACGTATTTTCTAAAAGTCATTATTGGAACTGCATCATATGAACAAATGAAGAAGTCTTGCAAAAACTTTGCACGTTTCAAAATCGGCAACTGATTTAAAAATTTCAGAAAAAAATTCTAACCAGAGATCCAAATTTTTTAAAACAAACGCGATAGCCACATTCTAGTTTTAAAAAATTTATCACTACAGGTTAATAAATAAAAAAAACTGTTCTCATTTTATAAGGTTATAGTCTGGTAACTCAAAACTGCAAAAGTTAAGCTGGCTCAAGTTAATTTTAAATGTTCTGATCAAAAAAGTAAGATCTATGAGTGATCAGAAGCTTTATTGTTTTTCATATGAATTTCAGCAAAACAAATGCGTGCAACTTGTTTTTTAAAAATAATTAGGACACATATCCATAAGAAATACCACAAAAGAGAACTTTCTTCTAAGCAGAGAATAAATTCGCCGATAACATCAAAATTACATAGCTCGCTTGTAACTATTGCACATGCAAAAACTGGGTTTTTGATAGACTCGCTTTGTTGTCATCGACTGCGGGTAAAAATTGATATACAATCCCATAAAATTAGTCTGTGTTTCACAAATAGAAACATTTTTTCTTCATGGAGTGTCTGTGTTCTGTTCGTAACTGTATGCAATCTTCATTTCTTGCAAAGGTTGACTTTCAGATCTGAAACTCGTTATTTCAGATCATGATAAGAAATTGAAAACTTTAGATCTGAAATTCGGATTCGAAAGACAATTTTCAGATCCAAAAAACCTTGAAAAACAAAATTTCAGATCTGATCTTAGATCTGAGAAACTCTTCGTTAAATTATAATTTATGAGTTGTCAATTTTTGCTGTTTCTGCAATACATAACTATATTTAGATTAATTAGCTGTAAAAAAAATTTCCCAATAATTACGCAAACTGTTTGTTTTTTTAAACTGATTTTTTTATTCAACTGTTTTCTAAAGTTTTCAAAAATCATTTTAAAAAACTATCAAATTTTTGAGTTTCATACGTTACTTAGGCATTTTTGATGTTTACCTCATGCTTTGCGAAACACCAGTATCCCATGTTTTGGTTCCAATTTTCGATTGGAGGCTTTGCTGAGTATCTACTAGCATTTAGGAGAAGCTATAATGAGCAACAAAATAGCCCTGAGTCTGTCTGAATCATCATAAATTCAAATCGGAAATAAACAAGAAAATTAAAATTCTTGATCTGAAATGAGATCTGAAATAGATTATTTCACTTCTGAAACAAAACTTTTACTGGATACTGGTGATAAACCGTACTGTTTTTATTAAACTGTCTTTCCATAACTACAATTGTCGGCCAATAATCTCCCAGAGCCTCTCAATACACAACTCAATTTACTTCTTTTACTTCTTACTTCGATTCGATTGAAACAATTTCTTTCACAGGTAGTCAATTCGTCAGCAACCAAATCGAGGTTCAATTGTCACACCATTTAGCCTAAAAATGATGATCTTTGCACGTTTCAAAATCGGCAACTGATTTAAAAAATTCAGAAAAAATTCTAAACAGGGATCCAAATTTTTTAAAACAAACGCGATAGCCACATTCTAGTTGTAAAAAATTTGTCACTACAGGTTAATAAATAAAAAAAAACTGTTCTCATTTTATAAGGTTATAGTCTGGTAACTCAAAACTGCAAAAGTTAAGCTGGCTCAAGTTAATTTTAATTGTTCTGATCAAAAAAGTAAGATCTATGAGTGATCAGAAGCTTTATTGTTTTTCATATGAATTTCAGCAAAACAAATGCGTGCAACTTGTTTTTTAATAATAATTAGGACACATATCCATAAGAAATACCACAAAAGAGAACTTTCTTCTTAGCAGAGAATAAAAATGCCTAAATTCGCCGATAACATCAAAATTACATAGCTCGCTTGTAACTATTGCACATGCAAAAACTGGGTTTTTGATAGACTCGCTTTGTTGTCATCGACTGCGGGTAAAAAGTGATATACAATCCCATAAAATTAGTCTGTGTTTCACAAATAGAAACATTTTTTCTTCATGGAGTGTCTGTGTTCTGTTCGTAACTGTATGCAATCTTCAGTTCTTGCAAAGGTTGACTTTCAGATCTGAAACTCGTTATTTCAGATCATGATAAGAAATTGAAAACTTTAGATCTGAAATTCGGATCTGAAAGAGAATGTTCAGATCCAAAAAAACCTTGAAAAACAAAATTTCAGATCTGATCTTAAATCTGAGAAACTCTTCGTTAAATTATAATTTATGAGTTGTCAATTTTTGCTGTTTCTGCATTACATAACTATATTTAGGTTAATTAACTGTAAAAAAAGTTTCCCAATAATTACGCAAACTGTTTGTTTTTTGAAACTGATTTTTTTATTCATCTGTTTTCTAAAGTTTTCAAAAAGTATTTTAAAAAACTATCAATTTTTTGAGTTTCATAGGTTACTTAGGCATTTCTGATGTTTACCTCATGCTTTGCGAAACACCAGTATCCCATTTTTTGGTTCCAATTTTCGATTGGAGGCTTTGCTGAGTATCTACTAGCATTTAGGAGAAGCTATAATGAGCAACAAAATAGCCCTGAGTCTGTCTGAATCACCATAAATTCAAATCTGAAATAAACAAGAAAATTAAAATTCTTGATCTGAAATGAGATTTGAAATAGATTATTTCACTTCTGAAATAGAACATTTACAGGATACTGGTGATAAACAGTACTGTTTTTATTAACCTGTCTTTCCATAACTACAATTGTCGGCCAATAATCTCCCAGAGCCTCTCAATACACAACTCAATTTACTTCTAAGTTTGCTTTTTTGTTGGGCCAAACTTGAGCCAGCTTGATTGTCGATTCGATTGATACAATTTCTTTTGCAGGTAGTCAATTCGTCAGCAACCAAATCGAGGTTCAATTGTCACACCATTTAGCCTAAAAATGATAATTGCAAAAGCACTGCATGTAAGTAAAGATATGTACTTATCTTCAGTTGAAGTTGTGCTGATACTAAAAAACGAATTTAGAATCAATTGAACTTGATCAGAAACTCAAAAAAGTTAAGTTCAAAAAACATATATAAATATTTTTGTTTTGTAATTTATATTATAAACTTACTCAAAAATTGAAGCAAAAAAAATTTGGAAAACTTTAAACGCTCGAACGGATGAAAAGTTTCTCGGCTATAAGGAGACTTTCTTCTGGTTATAGTTATCACTTACGTCATTTTGGCTTCTATAACCAAAAGATCGAGGATATATGTGTGATCCATTTCTTAGCGCGGACAAGGGAACAGGTGCTGTTTTTCCTAATTTTCACAACAGGAGATGATTTTTAGAGCTATGTTGATTGAAGCTACAAACCACACGCTTTCAACTTTTTAAGAGGAATATAGTTATTGCTTCGGATCAACCGCAAATCTCCGGATAACTGTAAATTAAAAACTTTCAATCGGGACAAAACAGCGGGTCAAAAATGTTATGTAAAGCGCCAACCACACAACCATCTCCGATAAAAAAAAAAGCAAGGCCGAAATTACATCAAATCAACATCATCCAAACCTGTAGGTCGGTCTGCCACTTAAATTTAAGCGTTAGATTACTTAAGCGGAAGATTAGTTCAGGTACACACAGATTCGGTAATTTACACTTTTTCAGAGTTTTTAGAAATCTCAAAGGAGAGAGCACCGTCAAAATTAGTCACTGACATGAAAATCACCATTGAATTGACGCTCCAACGGCGCGAGATGGCTCCATCTTTTTAAACGTATGACTCCATCAAAGCAGCTTAGTGTTGTCGAGTTTTGTACTCAAACATTTTCTTTTTCCTAGTATCAATGGATAAACTTGTATACGGGTATTCTCTCGAGGTTTACGGAGACGAAGAGCAACTGCTTTCTAAGTTAAAAGTAAATTTTTCTGACTCAAGCAAACGTTTATCAAAAAAAAGTTGTTTGC